ATGATCAAAGTTGATAAACAAAATATCAAAAAAAAAATTTATTATATAATATACAGTATAAATTGCTGATCATCGATCATTTCAATTGGAGCAGCTGTTCATGTCCAATAATCCTTATCTACTGGAATGGACTGTTCAGTCTAATAGAGTTCCACTAGACTGGTCCAATTCAATGCCTAACACTGCATCTGCTGTATAAGCTAAAACAATAGTAAAATTGGAACGTTCATGACCAGTTGATAAAATTGATACAGTTTTACTATCACATTGCTCAACTGTTGTATTATTTGGTAAATTAAAAGCCATTGGTATTTCATCCATATTTGCAATTAAAAATAATGAATATTGGTATTCTTTTTGACGAAATAGGACATAAGATAAAAACTGATTTTTGTAATTCAATATAATTTTCTGGAAGCTTCTGAAAACTGTTGTTTTTCTTCTATTAACTAATTTATGACGAGTCATAAAGCTATCAACCCATTTTTACGAAAATTTTGCATCTTTTATATCTAGATATTCTATCTGATAAATTTGTTTTTTAGCTAAAGAACGTGCTTTTGCCTGAATCATATAACGTGAAACAACTTTCAATTAGTTTCGAAATTCTCTAAACTATTCTATAAGTTCAACTTTAAGATATGAATATTTTGGCCATGTACTACCATTAAGTTTTTAATTGTAAGAAGCCATTTGTATGAGTTGTTCTTTATTTTTATCTACTCACGAAGTTGTTTTAGTTTAATTTCAAATTTATTTGCTATTGATCATTTACTGTGACCATTTTTATAATATGCAATCATCATCAGTTTCTCCCTTGCTGTCTATTATCTTCTCTATTTCATTATAATTCTAGTACGACGAGCTTAGAGATTTTCACGAACTATGTTATTAGTACTAAAATAAAATAAATTGTTAGTATTTATTAATATAATTTCAAATAGATTTAATAAAATATATTTAATACCTTGAAGTTTTAAAAGTGTACAAAAAAAATGCGAAAGAAAAATGTGAAAAAGAAACGTGAAATGAAATTGTGAAGGATAACCATTTTTTCCCCCAAAAAAATGCAGTTTATTTCTATAACTACTAAATCAGTATTAATAAAGTGTGATTATTTAATAAAAAAGAAGATTTAACTTTTTTAAATTTTCTGAACATGATAGATTATATATTGCAATTTTCTTAAAAAAAATAAAAAACTGCAAAAATAATACCGTAATTATTTTAGGATCAGCTATTTATTATTTATTTTAAAAAACCCTTCCGTTTTATATCTATTGAATATAAAATACCCAACCTGTTCATCCCATTCTAAATATAATATATATTTTCTGAATATAAAAGATTCTTCTGAATATATAAAATTAATTAAAAAAAAATTTTAAAAATTATGGTAACGATTATTTTATTATATATTATATTTTAGGATCAGCTGTGTAGCATATATAGTGTATTAAAAAAGTCATTTTTTAAGTTAAATCAGATAATTAAATCAGTATTTATTGATTATCGAAAGTTAATCTTTTTTTTTGTGAACTATTATTGTACGTATGATTTAGCGCAGTTATAAGTTATGTTGCAAAATATCCCCATAATACAATACCCTCAGTTTATAATATCCTACCATTAAATGTACCTGATATATCATAAAGTACCCACAGGTATATTCAATTTTTAAATCAGATAAGTTGTAAAAGACCCAGGGTATTTTAGGCAGTGCTAGACGGTAATTGAATTATTTTATTATTTAATGATTCTATATTTTTTTATAAAATGCTAATACTATAAAATAGAAATTGTTGTCAATTTATTAAAAAAATTTATACTTATATTTTGTTTTTATAATAAATTTTTATGTAATTGCAAAATTTAATTAACATTGACTTAATTATTGATTTATTGATGTTAGTATACTTTATATAATCTTTTACTTTATTTCAAATTAATAATAAATTTTTTTATATAATTAATTATTTAATTAAAAAGAATATATAAAAAAAAATATATATAGCTTATATTATTTAATTTTTTAAAGTTTTATTTAAAAGGTTTATTAAAATTTCAATTTTATTAAAATTATATTTATTTAAAATACATAAAAAATAAAAATTTTATAATTAAAATTAATAAAAAAATATATTTCTAATTTAATAAAATTTTTAATTTAAGAAACTAAAAGTAAAGATTATAGACAAATTTAATCAATGTATATAAATAAAAATTCTCTTTAAAAAAAAGGGAATATATAAAATTTTAATATAATACAAAAAAAAAAAAAAATTTTATATTTATTATTAAACTAAATAAATAATAAGAATTATATAAATTATACAAGTTATTAATATATATATAACATTTTAATGCGATTTTATAATATTAAAATAAACTTTATCAATAATTAGGATTACATAAAATCTGATAAGAATTTGTTTGTTCTATATAAATCCCACAAAATTTTTTAATAATCTATTAATTTTTTTTTTTTTTTTTTGAAAAGTTTCATTATAAGATTACCCAAAAAAAATTATCTTACCAATAAAATTTCCCTCTTTTTTAATAATGATTTATTAGCTTCCAGAAGCCTCTTCCTGACCATTTACACCATCAACAACCACTACAGCTGAGCTAGCAGCATTATTTGAATTTAAATTAGAGGGTTGAGCAATTAATTTCGCATTAGCAATGACCTGCAAAATATCCGTGAGAGATTGTTTCCAACTATCAAGTTTAGAAGATAACTGTTGCCATTGAGCAGTTGTGAATGTTCGATATGTGGATCTGTTAACAAGGATTTTCTTCTTAACTTGATTGATTTTTGCTTCAATTAAATTAGCTCGAATGACTGTAAACCAAACGAAAAAATGTGAATACCATAATATTAAAATTTTTATTATAACATTATTAATAGGTTACCATCTATTGTCCACATTTCAACTTCGGATTCTTGAATTTCTAATGCTTTTGCTATCGTCTCATAAGAGATCTCTCGAGAAACATTCTCAGATGCCAAAGAAGCCAACGTCAATAATCTAATTTTACGTATGTTATCCTCATTAGAGAGTCCTAATCATATGTTAGAGATCATTTGACTTATAATAATAATATAATCGCATGAATAGTTTAATCATTAAAATATCTATTTTACTTACCAAATTTTTCCACGGCACCAGGATTTACAGCAACGTAATCTTGATATTCTCTTAAATTCCCACTCAAGAAGACTTTTAATAGATCAAAGAGCTTTTCCTCACTTTTCAAGCATTGTATAGCATGTAACTCGAGTAAATCTTCAAAGCTCAAAATTTCGGGTAATTGAATAGCTTCAGTGACTGCACGAATTGCTGCAGTTTTGGCCGCAGAAAGATCATCGGAAGCAGAATAGGTGGCGAGATGTTTTAACAGGAAGTCATGAGATCGTTTGCTATGCAATATTATTATTTATAAAAAAGGAGAGAAATATATATATTAAAAATTCGATGAGATCATTAAAGAAAATATATATATATATATATATTTTTTAAAAAATAAGAGAAGAACGTACAGTTCGCCAGCTTCTTTCAATTTATCCGAAACTGTCAAATATAATTCCCGTACTTGATCTGTAGAAATTGCCCATTCCTTTACCCAAGTGTCCAGTCGATGCAATTGTGGTAACAAAGTATCAATTTCATCATTTTTGGTTGCAATGTCAAGAATTGCAAGGAATACATCATATCTTAGTGTTGAGTTATATTCCAGAGTATTATAAAGATTCTGAAGACTTAAAAAAAAAACTTAGTAACCTTTATTATAACAACCAATATAAATATAAAATGATTTCATGGCTCACACTTTGAGTTTTGGAATCGCCTTATCGTTTTGAACTTCCACAAGAGCCTTGATGGATGATTTTATTAATATTGGATGTGTCTCGGGTGATGCCGACTTTAAAATGGCAATGAGAAGATTATATATAGCTTCGAATTCTGTATGTTAGTTGTAAAACCAAACCAAACTTATGGATTATGTAATAAAAAAAAAAAAGCAAAAATCCTCCAAAATTGACAGGGTTCGGTGCTATAAAATACCCTTTTCCGGTGCTTCAAGTAATATTAATGTAGACGAAGCAAACGTTTGTAAGACTTGTTCAAAATTCTTTTCTTTTAACAGATTTTCTGTTTCTGTGATAAAAGGTCCTTTTTCTTCCGGTTCACCTTTTAATTTTGAGACATAGGAAGCAAACTCCAAGGCCTAAGAGATAAAACATACACGTCCTTTTTGTAAATAAACATATACCCGATATTTTTGTCACAAAAGTTAGGAATTATTCGTTCAACGCACCTGAGCCTCCAAGGGACCTTCCGTAAAGACAGTATTTACGTACGACATATTTATGAAAACCAGGTTAAAAAAATTCGAGGGTCGAAACGACGATTGGGCTGTATCAAGAAGGTAAAAAAAAAAAAAAAAAAAAAAAAAATTGAAAATGATGAAACCAATCGTCCAATGAAAATTTTGCGACACAAATTTTTTTTTTTTAGCAAGGGTTTATGTAACTACCCAAACACCCTTGCAATTCGATTTCATCATCCAAATACGGCACGGGTTCAACTCAAAAAATTTTACGAATCACTTTCTCTTGCATTTCAGTCCTTTTTTTAAAAAATGTCTGACCGTTATAGGTGATAAAGCTTTTCAGATATTCAATTTTCAATTTGCATTACTCGGGGATTTAATAATTTATCTTGCTTTGTCCTGGTTAGTTTCTCTTTAACGACCTTTTCACCTTCAGGAAAACTTGTTCAAATCGAATACGCCTTGAATGCAGTCGCTCAAGGAGTAACAAGCATTGGTATCAAAGGTAATAGGGCAGTCTCAAGTCTTTTTTTTTTTTTTTAGATTTTCTTATTCGATATTAATAGTATTCATTTAATAGCAACCAACGGTATTGTCATTGCGACCGAGAAGAAAACTGCATCTCCGCTTATTGATGACACGTCTCTCGAAAAAGTCGCAAATGTTTGTCCAAATATTGGAATAGTTTACTCTGGAATGGGTCCTGATTTTAGGGTCTTGTTAGCAAAGGCAAGAAAGGCCGCACAAAAATATAAGAGAATTTACAATGAATATCCAACAACAGGAATGTTGGTCAAAGATGTTGCCAGCGTCATGCAGGAATTTACTCAGAGTGGGTAAGTTAATTAACGAATCATTTCGAAGAGGGAAAAAAATATATTTATATATTTATTTATTTAAATTTATATATTAATTAACGGTCTTAGAGGTGTTCGACCATTCGGTGTTTCCCTTTTGATCGCGGGTTATGATGAAACTGGACCAGTTTTGTATCAAGTTGATCCGTCAGGATCATATTGGGCGTGGAAAGCATCCGCGATCGGGAAGAATATGATTAACGCCAAAACTTTTCTGGAAAAACGGTACGATCTCTATAATAATATTTTACGAGGATTGAATTTACACGCTAATTCAATGATTCCCTAATAGATATAACGACGACATTGAAATTGAGGACGCTGTTCATACTTCCATTCTTACCCTAAAAGAGGGTTTTGAAGGACAGATGACTGAGCATTCAATCGAGATTGGTATCATTGGTGGTGGAACCACTGGATTTACAGAAGGAAAAGAACAACCTTTATTTAGAAAGCTAAGTCCTTCAGAAGTTAGAGACTATTTGGCAAACATTTCCTAGTTTATTATAAATTTGTAATTTATCATCGCATTGCCATGTAATATATGTGGAGAGAGATATTCTTGACAATTTATTGATTGTATTAAAATGATTTGTTTGTAGAATTATTTTTAATTTTGACTATAAAGACTATAAAGTAAACTATGATGATGAACCACGTGACAAGTTATCTTGCTTAATCACGTGATCGTTGAAAATTTTATTAACCCGGAATCCACAAAAATTATAAAATTTTTGTCAATTTCAAAAAAAAAAAAACGTGTAAAAAAAAAAAGAAAAAAAATTATTAAAACCATACTATATATATATATATATTTTTGTAAATGTATTTGTAAATGTAGGAAAAAAAACCATATGTTAAAAAAAGTAAAGTGTAATGTACAAAAAAACCTTTTTTTTTTTTTGCGAAACTTAAAAAAAAAAAAAATAAGAAAAAATAAATATTTACGTAAATTAAATAATTTGATCGATTGAATTTAAAAAAGATGAAAAAAATTCGAATATGAAAAAAAAAAGGAAAAAAAAAAAAGTGAAAAATTTTAAGGTATGGGGTGGATAAAGGATGTACCAGTCAATGAAAATGTATAAAAAAAAAAAAAAAAAAAAAAAAAAAAAAAAAAAAAAAAAAAAAAAAAAAAAAAAAAAAAAAAAAAAAAAAAAAAATATAAAAATAAATAAATATCATACAATAATATAACACCAAACAAATTTTAGCATATATGGAAATGTTTTTTTTTTTTTAAAAAAAAAAAGCCAAATTATTATTTCTTAAATAATGACGCCCAAAAAAAAATGTAAAATCAACCGCGACGAATAAAGAAAATACATTTGAAAACTTTAAAACATAAATTAAAAAATCGATTGCTATGGAAAAAAAAAAAAGAAAAAAAAAATGATGGAAAGTCTCTTGGCGGCTTTTTTTTTTTTTTTTTTTTTTAATAATAATGCGAGGATTTTTATTTGATTCAATAATCATCGTCCAAAACTTTTATCGCGCAATGGACAAAAATGGACTTTAATTCTTTAGAGATTTTAATTAAAAACCTAATTCCATAGCAGTATCTCTATTTACTACAGAACTCTCTGATTCATCATCACTAAACGATTGTGGGTGGATCATCACATTAGGACGCGTAGTATAACCGTTTGGTAGACTTTCATCATCGGATGAAACTAGCGTGGATTGAACTATTCGTTGGTCAGGCCATGCATAATGCATGAATAATGATGGCGATAAAGGATAGTGTCTTTGAGTCGAAGATGACGACGAATTGTTGTTCGTCGTTGATCTATTGTTGTTGGTTGTGGGTGTTGATGATGAATTATTATTATTGTTTGAAATCGTTTGCAATATCGGTGCTGATGTGTGAGATCGATGTAAAGATCGTCTATTGCCTTTAGGCACGGTGGTTTTCGATGCAGAATTCGATGATGATGTTTGAAATTGACGAGGCGATTGTTGAGAATTACTTGAAGATACGGTTGAGTTACCATTTTCTTCTTGCTGCTTTTGTTGCTGCTGCATTGTCGTCGCCATCATCATTTGTGCTCGGACACTCGACCCGGAAAGTGATGTGCTCATTTGTGACTGTTGTTGTGAATGCCGTATTTGTTGAGCATTCAATAATTGTCGTTCATCACTTGAAGAGAACCGTCTCTGCCTTTTTTGGACTCCCTGAATATTTGGTCTGGCACTAAATGCATTATTTGAATATTGTGCGGTAGGTGCTGACGTGGATAATACCGATGCCGTAGCGGGTGTATTTACAACGTCTGATCGAGAGTTCATATTACTCGTAAATGACGTTCTTTTGCCCATTACGCTCATGCTAGCACCACCAGGACCTAATTGTACACTATTACCTTTTAAACCATTTTTACCGGGATTTTTTCCAGCCGCTGCAGCACCACCTCGATTACGTTTCTTTATAACGTCTGTCTTTAAACTTAGAGGTCTAACAACGCCATGCAATTTCAAGAACAAACCACATGCATTACAAAGGGGTTGACCTTCGGGATTGCGACGCCATAATGGCGTCGTCTGTGTATGACAATTCGTGCAAGTGGTCGGTACCGCGTTCTTTGACGAATTGCCATTATTATTGTTTGGATCTTTAGGTATTGTGGGAGATGGGGGTGAAGATGATGAGGGGTTATTGTTATTTTGAACAGATTTTATGGGACCAGTATTTACCGGCGCCGTCAAAGAAGCACGGGATGATGACCTCGGTCTTTTGCCCGGTGACGTTAAACCATTGGATGATTCCCCCTCACCGTTTGGCAGTGACGATGAAATGTTCTTATTATTTGTATCAACGTTAGATGATGAATGTCTTTTTATCTTGGAAGTGCTATTTACAATGTTGCTACTACAACCATTATTCCTTTCATCACCTCTACCCCACTCCCTTAAATTTGCTTGATCATAACCCATTGAACTTGAAGCTTTATCTTGACCATCAGACTCTTCTGAGGAACAAATTTGTTCGTTGGACTGTAAATCATATGAAATCGATGAAGGTGATGTGCTGAACAATTGAGATGGGTTAACGTGTGATAGCGAAGACAAGTTCAACTGGTTATTAGGACCGTTTACGTAATAAATGTTAACCATATCGAACACTGATGCAGCTGTAGAATCTCCATTCGTAAGATCACCTGTACCATTATAATCTCCGAAATAAAACCCTCCATTATTTACCGGACGAGCGGCTGACTGATATGGTATTTGCGCGGAATTATTCATATCATGATTGGTCAATTCGCTGAAAAAAGGATAAGAATGAGGAGCCGACGAACTCAAGAGAGCTGACGAACCAGCATAATCCATCGAATGGTGTTGATCATACGGAGGATTAAAAGGCGTATACGTAAATTGCGTATTAGTCGACGCGCTGGTCAAAGAAGACGACATTGAATCTGGTAATTCTATGTCAGAGTCATCGGCAGTATCGCTAGGTATTGTTATGCTAGATACTGGAAGAATTAAACTGGTGGATCTCTGCCTTTGGGTCTACATTCAACGATTCCGACATTGGATATTGTGGAGAAAGGGGGTGGGGGATGAGAAGTTGTTAATAAGATTAATTCAATAACAGTAATCATCGTAATGGAATTAAGGATTTGTTTTTAACCTTCTTGAAGGGATAATTTCCGATCGAGTTACTCATGTTAGGAACCCCTCGAGACACGGGAATTGCTATCGGACGCATTTGAAGGTTGGAAGGTTTTCCAGAAAAGTTTACAAAATTCTTCCTATTTAACGAGAAAGAAGGGTGGGAGAAACAAAAGTCTTCTGCAGCATTGGTATCACTAAAATTGAATTCCAGTCCATTTGAAGGGGTAGTTGGTATCGTATGAGCAGCTGACGAAGAGACAACGGGGATAGGAATAGCCGAAGTCTTTGAAGTGAGAACGGGCGAAGGAGATGACGTGTATGAAGAATGATTATCATCCGTATTACTTGTACTAGTATCTGATGGGGAATTTACTAGATGCGCATGATCATCTACAAACATTTCTTCAAACTTATGATCATCTAAATGGTCTACGGAGATGCCAGTAGGTAAATCACGTTCACAGCTGTTATCATCCGAAAATGAATCTCCCATCTCCACATCATATTGTTCACATATGCTTATATCTTCATTGACATTATTCCTAGAGTTTTTTTTTATCATCATTATTAAAAATAAAATAAAAAATAAAAAAAAAAAGGAATGATCAATTTTAGATTTACTTTTCAAAATATTAGATATTATTTTCTTAAACGCTTACTTTTCATTGGTAGGTTCAACCTTTGCTTGTTTACACATCAAAATTTTGGAAGACCTTTTCGAATTCGTCGAACGGAAAGTTGTGGTGGGAACCTTGTTATAATTACGGTTGTTGAGTGGCGGTCGTCTCACTTGCTCTTTTTCAAGATTTTTACGTCTTAAAGTGACGGCCATCATACGCCAAGTCATATTTTCGACACGAACTCCATGTGGCAAGGCGTCTTTTGCTTTTGTATATAATCTCCAGATTGAGGCGGCCAAAGGATCCTTTTTAGATTCATCACAATCATCATCACTGACATCATCATTGGACTTATTCTTGCAAGGTTTTGAGAAGTAAGGAGGTTCCAGAAGAACTTTATGAATATCTCCCAAAGCGGGTTTTTTTGATTTTTCTGAATCCTTTGATTTTTCACCATCGGACCATTTAACATTGTTTAACACCCTGTTGTTAATTGGATTACGGGCCATATTTTTGCTTTTGATATTATTCGAATTTGCACCAAAATTGTTTTGACGGCAATTCGGATGGTGCTGGTATTCCGGCTTTGAAGCCGTGGTGGAAGTCGTTACTTGTGACGTGTTGAGAGAGGTTGAGCCTTGAGAGGACTTTCTAAAGTCACCGTTACGTTGACTTGGAACCCTGCTGTAAGTTATTTGACGTGAGCTGGCCGGGAAGTTCTGTTGTATTTGCGGTTGTTCGTTCAAGCTCCCTTGAATTCCGCCGTCACCGTTGCTGTCGCAATTCTGATTATTAGGATTCAATCTATTTATATCAAAGTTATCAGAAGGTGGCAGTTTGTGAGAAAACAAAGGAGGTTGACTGTACGTCGATACCATCCCGTTAGAGGATTTTTATATATATATACAATATCTCGGCGTTTTTGGGAAAAAAAAAATCTTTTTTGAAAGCTTTTTTTTAAAAAAAAAAATTTATCGATTTCCTAATTCTATTTATTGATGTAAAGTCGATGAAGAAGAATAAAGAATATAAAAAAAAAATGAAATGGAAAAAAATTATGCGTGTGTTGAATTATAAAAGAAAATAAAAAATAAAAATAAAAAAAAATAAAAAAAAAAAAAAAAAACCAAAAACGAATAAAAACCTATTTAATAAAAAAAAATTTTTAAGTAAAAAAAAATAAAAGGGATTTAAAAAAATTAATTTTGGGGACAAAAAAAAAAAAAAAATTTTTTTTTCGCAGTTTTGAGTTTGTTGTTTGTTTAGTCGTGTGAAATATGGTTTCTATAACTTCTTTATTTTTTTTTTTTTAATTTTAAATATATTTTATTTTTTTTATAAAAAATATAAATATATTATATATATATATATATATATATAATTTTTTTTTTTTATTTTCCTATTTTCTTTTTTATTTTATCCGAATGAATTAAATTATAATTGAAATAAAAAAAGGGGGTCAAAGAACAATTGACAAACGGCCGAGATTTATTATTATTATTATTATTAAAATAATGTATTGGGAATTTATATGGGCGTTTTCCGTAAAGGTTTTTTGAAAATAGTTGTACTGTTGAAAAAAAAAAAAAAAAAAGTTGAGAAGGAGGAAAAGAGGGAGAAATGTTTGGATGAAATTCCCCGAGTTGTCAAAAAAATTTTTAATTATATAAAGTTTTAAAATACAAACAGGGTTATTTTATGTTACTTTAAAATTGTTTTTGTAATAGATGGATGATCAAATGAGATAGTTTAAAAAAAAAAAAAATTGTAATAAACCCAACAACTTCTTTTTTCAATTAATATGCAGAATAGTTTATTTTTTATTTATGTGTGAATGATTACATATCAGATATGTAATGCTTTTGACTAACTAAATGGTTTTTTTTTTTTTTAATACTAAATTTACGAAACATGATTTACGTTTCGAGATTGTTTCTTTTTCGTCTTGCGATACCATGAGTGATGATGTTAAACTAGATTTGGGGGGCGTTCAGGTCGGAGGACATTCGTAAAAAAAAAAAAAAAGAAAAAGAAATTCAGTTATTTCAGTTTCAGATTCTAGAAGTGGCACCAAAAGATGATGTATGAGCGTTGCAGGTAATTCTTTTGTGTACATCGTGTGGACGCATGTTTGCTCCGTTAGACCCAATTTTTTTTTATGATGTTTAACGAGATCTCAAAGTAAAAAAAAAAACCCCCAACCAAATAAATAAAATAAAATAAAATTAAATAATAATAAAAAAATCAAGGCTTATTATTATATAAATATAAATAAATAATTTATATATTTATGATGGATTCTCAAATTGGTTCGTATTAAAACTAAACTTTTTTTCATTTCCTTCCCAAAAAATTTCATCAATTTGCTTAGTTTGGTTAGATTCGTATGGCAGAGATGAGTGGATTCACATTGTATTGTCGTAACATTCAACGAGATCAATAATCAACAGATAAACAAACACATAAACTACTTTATATTCGAAATGATTCAACTCAAAAAATATAATCGGCACGAGAAAGCGAGGAAATCTAGTAATCGCCCCAGGTTTATACCTTTACAAGGCTCAATGTATTTATCTGCCATCACATAATGCTTGGGAAGGAAAACAAAGCTAAAAAATGACAGTTTCCCTGAGAAAAAAGAACCGTTTTTTTAAATTCGTCAGTCTTACATTATGGTGGGCGAATTACGCCATCTTACTTTGAAGGTCATCGGGGTTTTAGTTGCAATGTTTGTTTAGATGCAAAAACATGTTTCAACCTCTCTCAAGTCTTCATTAAATTACGTTAAGACCGCCTTTTAACCAAATACGAATAGCTTCTCTCACCTTTTTGTTACTGATATAGGGATAAGATCCTACAGATAGGATTGACCTTTCTGTGAGCTAAACCATAAATAACCAAAATCTCGAATTTCTTCAAATCGGTTGTGATGACGAAGCGCGTTTTTCTCTTTTTGGCAAGGCGCGAAAAGTCATCAGAACCTTAGTACATAATAACAATCATTTTATCATTGTTCGGTCATTTGAATTCCAATGGATATAAATAGGAAAGGAAGCCAATGAGAACAACATTATGAACAAAAGAAGTGTCTTGTCAATGAATAACAAATATGCAACCATGCATAAATTTTAAGCGTGTATTACTGTGCCACGCAAGAACGATCCGACCAATCAGATGGATGCGTGACCCAGAAACCTTTTTTTTTTTTTTTTTTTTTTTTTTTTAGAAAGGAAGGAACGAGGTTTTTAAAAGGTCACAAAGATGACTTTTTATTTTACAATCGGAAACAAAATCAGTTTGTTATCTGTGATTCCCAATGATTATTATACAGGAGATAATAGTGCATAATCTGAGGAATTTCTGATCAATTATGACTTTTTAATAAGTTAAGCGCGTATGTATTTAGTAAATGTTATATTAAAAATACCCATTTTTGCAACACCAGAAGATCACGCGTGAATTATAGATAAGGTTTTCCGTTATAAAAAAAAATTAATTATGTATCTATGTTATGTGTACATTAAGATTAACTTAAAAAAAAAATTAACCTGCGTCCAAATAAATCTTTTCTGATTTCTTTGGTTCTTTGCATCCCTTTTTGATCTTCAATATTTATCAGTCCAAAAAAAGAAAGAAAAATCCTTTCCATACGCGTGTCCTGATATAATGCGATGACATACCTTCTCTGAAACCAACTATCGATCATTCCTAAATTAAATCGACACGTACCAACTCGACCATTCCTTTGCTTGGATCATCATCACTATTTCTAATTTTATTCATAATAATTAATTTTAAAATCATTAAAGCTTAACCCAGATTAACTCCCACGTTGTTCATTATATTAATTCAATTAAGAAATAAAATTAAAATTAACATAAACATAACTGCGGTGAATGATGTTAGTCACGTTTACGGGATTTTTACTCATTCAGGTTCCTGCACACACACGAGGATTGCTCAGAAAAATGGGAGAGTTTCGTGGGTTTTCTCTTTTTTTTTTTTTCCTTTAAAATTTTTTTTCTTTTTTTTTTTTTTGGAAAATTTCTTTTTTTTAAAAAAAAAGATGCAGGCATGGTAGCTCTGTTTTGTGCACGCATTTTATTTAAGCTGCGCCATAAAACGCCGAGTTCCCATATGGTGCAGCCTAAACCCATTTCACTCTTTTCATGTGATGTTGTTGTTCGTCAATTAGACCCCATGACTCTTTCTAAAAAGTTTAGAAACCATAAATGGGATGATTGTACGGATAATATCCCGGGTGCATCACGAACATTATTAAACTGCATGTCAGTTGACGTAACATCTAGCGTTCATCGCACGTATTTGTGTGATAAATCGCCACGAGAATTTCCGGTTTCGCTATATTGAATGTTCCTTTTTTTTGGGTTTTTTTTTAGAACGATAAGGTTAGATAAATGATAATGAGGATTGGCTATTATTAGTAATGTTATTTAGATTTTGGGTAACCTTAAACAAAAAATGTCCCATTGTAAAAAAAAAAAAACTTTACTTTCGCATCTTTGATTTTTCTAATATTCCCCTTTGCTTATCTAACGTTTTAAAGTTGACAGCTGTATATATTAATCACGTTGCACCACTTTATCCTGTCAAATCCGGTTTTCGTTATGGACGTAACCGTACGCACAAATAGGGTAATCGTTAGTAAACTGTAAAAAAAAAGGGGGGAGAATATCAATTTAAAAAGAAGAGAAAGAAAGAGAGAAATTTTTTTTTAAAAAAAAATTAGATCCCTCTCCCCATCAGCGAGTTCTGAAAAAAACCCTTGCCTGACAAAACAGTTACATTTAAATCACATGTAGATTTTCGTCACACAACCCATTACAAACAAGGTTAATATGCATAAATAAACATGCAGAATGAACTTGATTCATTTCATGCAGGGAATTAGGAAATACACCTTGTGATCAAAATTTGTATGTACGCACATACAGCTTGCATATCAGGTAAATATTGTACGATGAAAAAGTCAAATGTGTGAATTATGAATAAACCTTCCTGTGTGGAGCATACTCGTCAATCTTGCCCTAAACCATTTCGGATGACGACGAGCTTGCTTCCCCTACATGCGATTCATTGCATGAGATCATGCCTGATTACAACACTTTTTTTTTCTCAATGCTCTAGGACATAAAAAAAGAAGGAAAAAAAAAAAAAAAAACCTTAAATATTTTTTTTCCTTCTCGCAATCCGGTAATCCGGTGGCTTAGGAATCTCGTTATCCGCAGCATGCGCTCATTATGGAAATCGCGTGAAAATAAGGTTTCGTTTTTTATTTCCTTTCCAATGACCGGATGATAGTTTCTCCCGATGCGCGAATGCCTGATTATTTGTTTCCTATCAAAGTTCATTAATTTATTCGCGACGTCCATTCATTTGTGTGAGAAAAATCATAAAAAACGAGTTGTCCTCACCTAAAAATTTCCTAACCGTTTGCAGGCGCATCATGGTGTAGCGCGACAATCCATTCAAAATATTTACACGAGAAACAGTGTATAAAAGTAATTGCGAATTATTTATGTTTACGCAATCTTCACTTGATTTATTCGGTTACTCATTGGAGCAAATTGGGTCAATGAAAAACGAATCGCGTATATTTCTTAATAATTGGTGACCAAAACATTAGCGTTTCGTGCGACGCGAACGATGATGACGATCAGATCGAGCATTCGTTTTTATTTTTATTTTAATCATTTTATCATTTTACTTTATTTTATTTTATTTTTTTTTTTTTTTTTTACCTTGGATAAACCATAATAAATAATAATGACGCATCCAATGGGATGGTCATTCAAATAGTCATGCGATTTTTTTGGTCTAATTGGAATCCAAAAACCCGTGAGACTCTCCGCAT